AAAAAAAAAAAAAAGAGAGAATGGCAACCTCAGTGGAGAATTCATGTCTTTTAGCCAACCGGTTCCCCCATCCACATCAGCCTCAGCGACCTAAGCCAGTGCAGGTGTAGGAGAGAGACATTAGGGAGTGTGGGGAGCTCTTATATCTCAGGTTAGCCTAATAGTATTCATCCATGGCCAATTTTGGTAGTGTCACAATTCTGTTCAGCATGTCCTCTCTATTCTCTAGCCTTGGGCGCAGCTATGAACACTGCATGGGATCAGTCCCGCCTGGCATGGAATTTGGGTCCCCTGTCTGAGGCTTCACTAGGGCAAGAATTTGCTTCTCAATGGCTACCTTTTCTTCAGCCATAGGGTAAAATGAGGCATAACTGGGGGCTCCCACTCCTCCTTTTGTTAATAGAAGGAGCCCTGTCACTGGGGCATTTCTCCTTTGAAATGTATCTTATTAAAATTCCTTACCTCCGGGGGTGAGCAGTTAGTTCAGTTGGTTAGAGCATGGTGCTGATAACACCAAGGTCGCTGGTTCTATCCCCGCATGGGCCACTGTGAGCTGAGCCCTCTTTAAAAGAGTCAACTATGCCATTGTAGCATGAAAGCAATGTGTAACCAATGACCATGGCTGTTCCCCAATTAAAAAAAAATTCCTTACCGCCAAAGTGCACTTGCAACCCCAAATGGACTCTCATTAATGTTTAACTGTCATATTCATGGGGTGTCTTTTTTCAAGAGATGAACATTACACGACAAGAATGTCGTTTACTCCCTACCTATCCCTGAAGTCTCTCATTTTATTGCTGTGGAAACAGATCTGGCCAAGGTTTGGTGACTTCCCCAGGGTCCCACAGCTCATTAATGGGGGAACTGGAACACAGATCTCTTCCATAACTCCCTTCTGTCTCCATGCTATGTTGCTTTAATTGGGGTTGGCGCTTCACAGGCAAGAGAATGTTACTAAACATCCAAAATTTAGTGTTTTATTTACATATATTCCACATATGAAAGTAAAAACAAAAAATCATGAAGCAGGAAGGTGAAAATTTTATAGTTATTAGTAAAGAACATTTTGTTATGAGAGTTCTGAAGCATTTTTAAAATTATAAAGGTCTTTGTTTATTGGTTAAATTCATGTTACATATTAGAAAAAGTCTGTGATAATCTTGAGAACTTTGGAATTTGATTTTTAATTTTTTTTGCAGCAACAAGATTAAAAGAATTGTGTACTTAATTTTAACATCCCTTGCATTCAGGTACGTGAGACCCTAGAATAGGAGATAATTAAATATGTATAACACTTAATATCAATATTTTTAATCAAAAGGATTTAGGAGGAAAAAAACATTTCCACTGTCAGTATGTTGCAAAATAGCCCCTGTGCCCCACTTAATATAATTTATCTTGGAATTTTAGTTTAAGCTGAATATTAAGCATTGCAAAGAAATGGCATTTACCTAAGTTTAATAGTAACACATTAATATGTTTTTTCTATCTGTGAAAGTAAAAATGAAGCATGTATTTTAAAATTATATAATTATAAGTAAAGGGTTTTATTAAATACTTATTTGTATAGAATTTCTCCTTAATTCTAGAATCATTCTACTTAGGCTTCTTCTTGACATGATAGTAAAATTTCATACTATAATATAGATTTACACAATATACTTGCTTCCTTTTAAATATATATTATTTTAATTTGCATTGCAATTATAAAAAAGTACTTTGGAGACTAATTTATCTTCATAGATTATACAAATAATATAATCAATTTATGGAGAATATGTTTAGACTACATAAGAGAAAGGCTTAGGATATACTTTATTCAATCATATATATGAAATTCATGTTTATGAAATTGAATTTCTTCTCATGTGCCCAGCACTGTTCTAGATGCATCCATTCATATGTAAAATCTTAGTGATAAAGAAATCTTATCAGCCAAAGTGGTCTTTTAAGGGCTTATGTTAGTCATGCTTTCACTTGGTTTTTATTACTAAATTCCTAAAAATTATCAAGATTAATGAGGTTTTATTTATTATGAGAAATTGATAGAAGCCCCTTCTTAAATTCTCAAATATTAAGAAGAGTTTATAAGCAGAGATACATAATTTTAATTCAGTTTACCTGTTCCATTTTGGAGTGTTAGTCTGATGTGGCTGTGTGATAAAAGGACATGATAACATGAAGTGGTTTGGTGGGAATTTTGTCTCCCTAACAACTGCTTCCACTGGGTAAAAACTGAATAACTTTTTTTTTTCAGATTCTAAGGTAATACAGTTCTCCCTACCACTGGACAGTTTAATCTTAAATGATGACATTTTGTTATTAGATCATTTGCCTAAATGTAGTCTAACTATAGAGGTGAAAACCACTTCATCTTTATTCTATTTTGTCTTTGTTGTAGAATATTCGGAGTTGTGCTGGTCTTTTTGGATGTGTCCTTCATCATTGCAGACCAATTCAGTTTTAGCTCAAAATATATTCATTGGGACTATCATAAAGTTTCTTTATCTATTGCTTTATTTTTTCTAATGGATGTTCTTCTTCGAGTATTTATAGAAGGGTAAGTTTGATTAATTTTTTTACACACACATAAAGCTATTTTGTACTGCTACAAGAAGCATCCTAAAATAATTACCAGGTCAATCCAACCAAATGTGTCCCTCTTTATCAAAATAATTCTCCTGGAAAGCATGGTCCACAAGAGAAACAACAATCCAGATCCCACTTTCTACTAGATTGGGCTTTAATATTATTGTTGCAACTGGCACTCTAAGTCTTTGACAATGTATTCTAGATGATTTCTTCAACATGGAAGCTTAAACACTTTGCAAAATGGAGCCAGGAAGCTAATGTGTCAACATGTACATTATTAAGAGGAACATGTATATGAAGTACTTGTATAAATATTAATACTTTCATTAAGAATTGAATCTAAATAAAAGCTGACAATATATTAAATACTAGATAATAGATCATGAAAAACCCCCTCCCTCAGTTAACATAAAAAGTTTTGTTAGGGTCCAGAGGAGATCTGAGGCATGCTCAAACCATCAGCAACGCTTGGTACTGAGGCAGCAGCTGATTTCCTCTGCTTGCTGCCTTTCTGAGTAAGGTGCATGGAGTGAGCTAAGTCTTGGAGCTGGATTGCTGTGGAAGTCAGGAACTCCCAGCCTCACTTCATCCAGAGCATTTCAGAAGGCAGCTTGTCTCCTCCCTGCTGAACTTCTATCTTCATGCTTTTGAGTTAAGGATAGTTGCCCTCTCCCAGGTTACTCAGAGCCTGAAAGGGGCTAGCTCAGAATTGGAAGAAGCTTTCCTTGGAGCACCAGTGCCCATGGCTGAAGGAGCCAGTGCTGGGAAAGAAGGTGCAGTGGATAAAAGTTCAACTTTACTAATATAAAAATAAATTTTAAAAAATAGAAGTTCAATTTTGCTCAGGGGAGGCCACACCAGCCCACTGGGATTTCACTGTGGGTACAAAGCCAGGTGATAAGTTTTCGGGGCAAGGTAATGGAACCCTCTCCCTGTCACAAGTTCCTCTTGTACACTCTTCACAGCCCCAGTTGCTCTATGGCTGTGTCTGTCGTGTTCAGCATCCATTGCCCAGTAGCACTGCCCAACATGCCACCTTTCCCTCACACTGCCCCACGTGCCACCCTTCTCTATATGTGAAGGCAATGCTTGCCTCTTGTTCAGTGGTTTGGTTATATCCCATACTATCCTTAAACTGCCATGTTGATGCTTTTGTCATACATATGTATAAAATAATGAATATGAATGTTTTCCCCTTAGTCTAGTTTAGTAAATGAATTTTAAATAATTCATTGAAGTAGAATTCTTAATGAGAAGGAGTCAAATAAGTTGTGCTCTTAAAACGTCCCTTTCTCTTCTTTGGGAGGCATAAACTTCTATGTTTTATTTTATATTACAGGATACAACTGTATTTTGCTGATATACTAAACTCCTTAGATGCTCTCATTATTACGGCGACTCTAGTGATTGATGTCATTTATTTTACTTATGACATGAAATTTGTTAACTTTAGCACCAGGTAAGAAACATATGATTACCTTTCTTAAGGATTTTTTTTTTCATTTTCTGTGGTTCTCATTCTGTGTAATCTTTTTAACTCTGATTATGCCGTTTTGTGCCAAATAAGCAGCTTGGAAATGAAATGTTTAGATAAATTTCCACATACTTGGAAACTAAAGGATTGGTGGGACCCACGAAGGGTGAACGCACTAAGAACCTGTAGTTGAATGAGGAAGATAGAACACCCAAAGAGGAAACTGGGGAGTTTGCCTCTTGTACTAACTTCAACTTCTCTTCATTTTTAAATTCCCACTAAACTGCAGTTTGAGCTTCAACCGCAAATTCCTTACACATGAAATTTCGAGGTTTTTCCTATCACCAAGAGAATATTGGCTTAAGCATATGCAAAATTTGAGTGACTCCAATGATGATTGTGCTAAAAAAAAAAAGCACAAGTGGAACAGAAAACAAAGTGACATGGATAACAGTACAGAAGTAGAATTTGCAGCATAGTGTTATCTGCAATGAAGAAAGCTGCGGCAATAGAATTGTTAGGGATCAGGAAACTAGAATGTATCTGAGACACTGATGGCTTTTTTCCCCTTCTTCTTCTTATTCTGGCAATGAGGAAAAGAAAAACAAATGTGTACTGGGATGTAGACGTTATGTGGCTCACTAGGCTTATTCATTAGTCAAATACCTTGCACTCCAGCTTTCTAGGGCTTTAATTCAGGTCTCCATGAAACTTGGCATTATTTGATAGGCTTTTGGAGCTGTTTGAAAACAACTGGAGCCTGTATGGTCCCCTGACTGGCAACCTCAGCATCACCTAAGAGCTTGCTAAAAATGCAGGAAATAAAACACCTCAAGTCCCATTCTAAACCTACTGAATCAGTACACACACTCAAGTTAGAGCAGCACTAGTTCAAACCATTAGTTCTCTGCTGTTGTGTTTCTTTCTGGTGGTAGGCGAGACATCAGCTAGCATATTTGGAAAGTATCTGAATCTACTGCCTGCCTGATGTGTGTTAGCAGCTGTAGTAAACCTCTGTTATAAGTGGGAGTAACAAAGCTGAACAAGAACCTCAGTGTGTATTGATGGAGAAAGAGTGAAAAATACTCATTTTAAACCACAGAAGTTAAATCTATAAATTGTAAAAGTCTATCATACAACTATTTCACTAAACCAGTTTCTCAACCTAAGCACTACTGATATTTTGAATCAGGTAGCTCTGTGTTATGGAGGCTGTCCTATGCATTGGTGGTTAGCAGGATTCCTAGCTTCTACCCACTAAATGAAAGTGGCACCCCCTCACACACAGTTGTGACAACCGAAAATGTCTCCAGACATTGCCAAATACCCCCTAGGTGGATGGGAGGCTTGGGTGGGGGTGAAGGGATGCAAAATTGCCCCTGGTTAAGAACCACTGCTCTAGACTTAGTTCATATTGACAAAATCCTATTTCTGAAGCAAAACTGAATGTTTTAAATTTATTGTTAGATTGACTACTATACTTCGACCTCTACGACTTATCATTCTGTTAAGAATTTTTCATCTGATTTATCAAAAAAGACATCTTGAAGTGCTGACCAGAAGGATAGTAAGTAGGCAAAACATATTTATGATTTTTTAAATGTTGTATTTTGAAAAATACTGGCAAGCATTGTGGATATCTGTATAATGTTACTTTTATGTTAATTTATGTTTCACAAATTAACGATTGTTTTCAATGCTCAGGTTTCTGGAAACAAACGACGATACACCAAAGATGGATTTGACTTAGACCTCACTTACGTTACTGGTTTGTGAAGTTTATTTGTTGATTTACTTATATTAATTTCACATTTTTCTGTGTGTAAGTAATTATGTGTTTATTTTGTTCTTGCCTTGTCTAACCCATGTTCTTTCAAAGTATTCTTTATCCCTAAAGATATGTGCCACTATGGTAGTGCGACTTATTTGTAGTTTAATTCTGACATTTTTTCCATTGTCATCTCAAATCAGGACTACTTGGTTATAGTACAGGAAGTTGAATGGATTTTCAGCTGACTTCATTTGTTTGGTTTAGAACTTATTGAGTTCTATTAGTGACTCTGGGTCCCAAGGATTCTAGAGAGACTGTTCTCTTCCTCAAGTCTCAGAGAATAAGGCCATTGCTTTGTAGAGCTCAGGTTTCTGAGTCAGGAGCATTAGAAAGCATCCTGGGAGTTCCCACCATCACTGGAGCCCAGGTCTCTCATTTTTCTTTGGTGTTTAAATAAGAAATAAATTCTCATCGCAGGAGGAGCTCCAGACTAAGGTCAACACAAATCTGTCGCATATGGTTAGAACCAATTGAGTTAGGAACACCATGCGAGTTTAATGATCATTATATTGGATAATTTAATATGTTATCTTGATTTTCCTGAGGGTTAGTTACCTTTTATTTTGGTATTCTCAATCCTGAAAGTTTCTTTTTTTTCTTTATGAAACAGGAGTCTTATTATATGTAAATTAAGTTTTCATATATTGTTTGATATCTATAATGACTTTCGTAATAGTGACTATTTTGACTTCCAGATCGTATCATTGCCATGTCATTCCCATCTGTTGGACAGCAGTCTTTCTATAGAAATCCCATGAAGGTAAGAGTATTTATCTAGCAAATGCTCATATTTCTCATTAAACATAGACTATGGAATCATAAGTTTAACATTAGCCCAGAGATGGAAGTATTCTCCTAAAAACTTACCCTGTCAAGTAAAAAATTATAATGGATTGGTATCAGTTAGCTTTAATCCATATTTTTGCATATATCAGTAGTTCCTTTTATTGCTGACTTGTATTTCATTGTATGTAGATACCACAAGTTGTTTATTATTTCTCCTATTAATGCACATTACCTTTTTGTAATGTTTTCCTCTTAAGACCTAAGCACCAGAGAGACCCACTGTGAACAATTTCTCTGCTCTTTTCCACATCAGTGAATTGTATTATCATGTACCCATTTCATAATCAGAAATCATGTTCTCTGTTTCTCTTTTTCTTTCCTGTTTTTTGATTCTCACTTTTGTCCAATTTTTCTGATTTTTTCTCTTTGGGATTCATTCTCAGCTTCAGACTTCATTTGTGGACTTCTCTACATGATGATTAGTTTACCAGTTTATTATAAAATGATGCAACTCAGGACTAGCCAGATGAAAGAGATCAATAGGGCAAGATATGGGGCAAGGAGTATGGATGTCCCATGCCCTCTCCTAGCACCTCCACTTGCTCACCAGCCCAGAAGCTCCTGTAGTTCTCCTTTAAAACTGTCTTGCCTTTTCTAGGCCCTTTGAATTTCCATATAAATTTTAGAATCAGATTGTCAGTTTCCACAAACATACACACACCCTTGTTGGCATTTTAATTTGTGTCATATTGACTATATAGCTTAATTTGGGGAGAATCAACACTTAGAAATATTGAGCCTTCTAATCCATAAACATAATATATTTTTCCATCTACTTAAGTCTTCTTTAATTTATTTTAGCAATGTTTTCACTGTATAAGCTGTGCATGTCTTTTATTAGTTGTATTCGTACTTGATGGGTTTTGATACTATTTTAAAGATATTTACATTTTTTTCACTTTCTAATTATTTGCAGTTGATATATGTGAATATAACTGATTTTTGTATATATTTCCAGTACCCTTCATAAATTCACACATTCATTTTAATAATTAATTTGTAAGTTCCTTGGGATCTTTATGTATACAATCATGTGATGTTACTACTTCCTTTCTACTTTTTCTTTCTTCTTCTTTCTTTATTAAATTGTCTAGGACCTCCACTGTAATGTTGAATAGAAGTGGTAAGAGTGGGCAGACTTGCCTTGTTCCCAAACTTAGGTAGAAAGAATTTGATATTTTACTATTAGAATGATGCTTTCTAGAAACTTTTTGTAGCTATCTTTTATTAGATTAAGAAAGTTTCATTTTGTTTCTAGTTTGCTAAGAGTTTTTAGTCATGAATTGGTGCTAAATATACCAGATACTTTTTTGCATCTATTGAGATAAACAAAATGTTTTTCTCTGTTTTTCTGTTGAGATTTTTAAATGTTAAACCAACCTTTTCCTGGTATAATCCCTCCCCCTTTGTTCTTAATGTAATGTTTCATCCTTTTTATATATCACTCTTTGCTAACATTTTATTTGGAACTTTTGTATATGCTAATGACAGATATTGACCTTTAATTTTTCTTTCTTGAAATGTCCTCACAAGCTGGTCTACAATGACCTTAGCTGGAGTGTCTGGGGCAACTCATATCTGTTCCACATGTCTTCATCCTCTATTAGGTTTGACTGGATGTGTTTTCATGGTGATGGCAAAAGGCAAGAGCTAAAGTAGAATCTTACAAGGGGTTTTGCAAGCCCCTGATTTGTGTCGCCATATTGACCAAATCAACTCAACATCATGAAGCCCAATATTAGAATGAGAGGGCACTTCCAGGTGGATACAGGGAAGGATAAAGAATTGGGCCCATTAATGGAATCATTCTAAGGCAGGGAAAATTTTCTATATATACAAAAAATTTACAAGCAACAACTAATACATATTCAGAGACTTGAGACTTGGGCCGTCCTATAAAATCCATTTGTAAATATTCCAAAAGGCCTTGAGGACGAGGGTCTGCACCATAGCTTACTCAGATTTGCTATTTATAAGTAAGACATGATTCTACCATGCTTTTCACAAATTTTGAACAGTTTTCAAAACCACTGTTTATTGTGGAAACTACTTTATCTCTTCTATAATGAGACTGGTTATGGAGTAATTTGATCAGGGTCCATTGGATAGATCATGGCACTTCAGGGCAGCCATCCTCAAATTGCCAAAATCCATCTTTATGGATGAAGCTTCCCCTGATTGTCAATATTGCTTTTCAGTAGATTGAGCTGATAAGTGAGTTAATTAGAACTTGCCTAAATTGAGACAATTTTCTTTTGTAGTTTTGGTGACGATAAATATCAGTTTAGTAACAATATTAGCTGGAGTGTTTTTAAAAAGCCAAAAAAAGCTTCATTAAGCTTGCAAATCAAAGCAAATACATTACTCTTGGCTTCTAGAATGGTCTCTAAACTATTGGTTTCTATCAGTTATTACACTGTTATCTCCTTAGGATATTGATGATGTCCTAATAAGTCATTGATTCCTTTACCATTTTTAATCAGCATATCTGAAGAAGAGGTGATAAATCATCTGTTTTCATAAAGCCCACAAATCATAAACCACCCCAAAAGCATATCTACTGTTCACAGTAATATTTACTTTCATCTTTTGGTAGAGTGCAGGCTCAGATCTGAGCTACCTGGGCAGACTAAGAATGAGGCAATGAAGCTGCTTCAGTGGTTGCATGTTCAATGATAACAGCACATCCTGCACAGAGTGTGCCTTTATTGTTTTTAAGATAAGAGCTATTTACAAACTATTCTAAATCAAGGTTGACTAAAAGGTGCAAGATTGAGATCTGGGCATACTGAACTCCTGAGAGAATGCTAAACAGTCATGTGGTTCCCTTTCACTCTTAAGAAGGAATAACAGGGCAGGGTTATCTTTTGAACAACACTGAATAGTAATATGCAGAGGAAATGGTAGAATTTCACAAGCGGTAAATTTGCTAACAGAAAAGTGTCAAGTTTTACTAAAAGAAGCAAGAATTATACAGCTGTGGAAGTGGGGAAGCAAGCACTATGTTGCAAGTGTCAAGTTTGGCCAGTGCTGCCACCATGTGCAAGCAAGGAGGGTGTTCCTTCACCTCCAAATCAAGGAATATGCCGAGATAGACAATAGGTTTCTGGTGTGAACTATTCTGCTTAGTTAATATTTGAGTCAATTTTTTGCGAACAGAAAGAAGGATTGGGCACATGTAGGAAACCCAAAAGTGGAGGTTGTGGCAAAGGGCTTCCAAAGAGTAGAAAGCATTTTCCACTTTTGCATCCCCAGAGTTTCAGGAATTGTAAACTTAGTAAGCCCATGCAAAGGCTTAGCTACTGAGAAAAATGAGATACTATGTATATTGCCTATAGTCCTAAAAATATTCTTAGTTATTTTCTAGTTTTTGACCTTGGTATAATTGAATATTCTTCATCCTGGTTAAGGAGAGAAAATGTTCATCTGGTGACAGATCGTGATCCCTCAAAGTGTAGTTTCTTAACAGAGTTGAAGTTTTCCCTAGGTATTTTATGTCTCTGTTCAGCTCATTTCGATAAGAGGTAACTGGAGTCTTCAGGTAAACTACTTAGATCAGAAAACAGCAGTAAATTGTTTACATATCAAGCCAAAGATGGACTCATGGAGAAAATGCAAATCCTGAAGATTATTTTTTAGACATTTAGAGAAATGTGAAGGTGATTTAAGAAAATCTTTTTATTAGTTTCAGATATACAAAACAATGTAATAGTTAGACATTTACACCCCTGACAAAGTGATAACTCCCTCTCCCAGTCTCTATTACACCTCTGACATCATATATAGCTGTTATAATTCCATTGACTCTATTCCCTATGTTGTACTCCACATCCTATGAATATATATATATATATATATA